GAGCCTCGGAGCCCTGCAGCCTGAGAAACACCGCAGGAACTCGCATACTGAAAAGGAATGCATTGCAAACCGCACGTTGCGAACCCTGCAGGCTGAGAAGCACCGCAGGATGTCGCATGCTGAAAGCACTTGTACTGCAGAGCGCAGGCTGCGAAACCTGCAGGCTGAGAAGCACCGCAGGAACTCGCATGCTTTCGAACACTACTGCTCGAGACCGCAGCTGGAGAGCGGCAGACCGCAGGCTGAGAAGCACCGCGGGCAGAGAGACTTGCAAAACTCAGATGTCCTGTTCGTCTTGGAGGAAGTCACGCCAGTCCGGCGGCTGCCAAGAATCGATGATGCGCCTGGAGCCACCGCCCGTGCTGCCGCCGATGTCCAGGTAGTCGCCATCGCCCCTGAACAGACGGCCGTGCCCGCACGCCAGAATCGCTTGGTTGCGGATTTGAAGCAGCGCTCCGCTCTCAATCATCTGCAACACGTCCAGCTGCCTGCGCGTGAAGTTCGGCTTTGCCTGGCCAGCCTGGGCAGACAGATGGAGGGAAAGCCGCTCCCCCTCGTTGTAGCGCGCGATGGCCTCGGCCTTCTGGTGGTGCAGCCGGCGCCGCTGTTGCCGCAGAGCTTCCTCGGGAACTGCTGCATTGCGGCCCTCACTGTGATCAGCTTGCAACGCTTGCGTTAACCAATCAACGTCGAAGCGCCCTGAGAAGGCCAGCACCTCCCAGATCTGTTTGGTACCGGCCACACGTTGCAAATGGCGATGCCACCGCTTACGCTTCTGGTCTTTCACAAACTTGGCGACGCTACCCAGAACTGCACCCTTGGCCTGGCCACCTTTTCCCGCAGGCTGAGAAGCACCGTGAGAACCTTTCTTACCGCCTGGCCCTTTGTTAGGACCCTGCGGAACCGCATGGCCCCCTTGTGGCGCAGACTTGCCTTTTGCTTTTCCCTTTTCGATATCCCGTTCCTGAAGCGCACGCTGCTGCCGCGACTGCTCGTACTGGTCGCGAGCTACTCTGTCCAATTCCTGGCGCTCAGGCTCCGTGAGAACGTAGCGCATGTCGTCGATGTTCTTGCTCCGCAGAAAGTCATGTCGAAGCTTAAGGACAGAGAGAATGGCTCGGCCAGTCTCCTCCTGAGACGCAAAGGCCGTGTCATATTCCGAGCCTGGCTGAGGAGCGCCAGCTGGATCAGTGTCCGCTGGCTCCGTGGACTTCCTCTTTTTGAAAAGCAAGAGACTGAGATGATGGAGGACTTTCGGATCGTACTCCTCGTCGTACCTGTCGTCCCAAAGCTGCCTCAGCTCCCTGTGCAAGTCGTCCGCGCGATTCTGAACGACATCCTCGACGTAGTCGGGATCACCCGGTGAAGTCGGTGAAAGCGGAGGAGCAGAACTCGGCGACCGATCCCAATGCACAGAAGACTCGCGGTCAGCCTGTACGCTGACGTCGGCGTCGGAGACGTTTTCGACGACAATTTTCCGCCTCTTGCTCTCCCCAGGCTGAATAGCACCAGGGAGAGTGAGCACAACCGTCACCGCATCGTGTGCGTCGTTGCGCATGCCACGATCCGTAAAAGACGCGCCAACGGCAATGAAGCAGAAACGGGCGACTGCTCCGCAGACCGCGACGTGGTCGCCTTTGAGGTCGGCCGGAGTGGCATGGACCTCCCATACCTTCTCGTCGTTCTGCTCGCGCTGGTAAGCCTCCCGCGCCTCCTGGAAAGTGAGGTTGTCGTCGCAGACTACAAGCACAACGACTGCCTCGTTTAGATTCTCAAGAATCTTGGCCAGGCCGTCCAGGTGCAAGCGGAGATGGCGAACTGTCCGCTTTCGAGTCTGTATGCTCGGCGGTTTCTTGCCGCACACGATGTGCATGTTGGCGATCACCACGTGGAACTTGTCATGGCCTGGTTTGTTCACCTCAAAATGTGAAATAACAGCATCAATATCTCGGCCGCTAGGAGACCTGTAAACTTTGCTGTCTTCGCACAGAGTCAGTTCCGCAGGCTGAGAAGCACCGCGGAACCCCCAGAGAGTCAAGTAGTTGTCGACCTCCGAGAAGCGAATGCCATCACCGAAAGGCTTACTGAGGATCTCTGTCACGTTGATCCCTGCTCGGCGAAAGCCTTCACGGAACGCACCGACCTCGCAGCCACAGACCATATCAGCATCAGCGGTCTCCACTATCTTGGCGCACAACCTTCCGAAGTTAGCGCAGTGAGTGGCCGCCTGCTTACCAGTCATCATGCCCTGCTCGAACCCGAAATTGAACGAGGCGACCGTGAAAGACGCAGGCTGCACAGCGCCAGAACCAGGCGTCTGTCCACCTTCCTCCGCAGGCTGAGAAGCACCGCGAGGCGGCGCAGGCTGAGAAGCACCGCGAGGCGGCGACACTTCGGACGAGCCTCGCGGAGCAGAGGCTGCGGATGAACGTTTGACATGGGGGTACGGCCAGGGGAACGCCATTGCAATCAAAACTCAGTGGACTGCAGTGAATGAATGTAGTGGCCAATTGAACGCAGAGGACTGCAGTGTCACTAGCAAGTCCTGAACCAAACACAGCTGTGGAGGAAGGAATATGAAGCGTCTGGCTATTCAAAATGTTGCCCGGCAATGGAGTTCTGGGAACTCGAAGACCAGGAAGTGGACTAGAGTTGGCTCTGGGCATCCAAAATGTAGCACAGGAATGGAGTTCTGGGAACTCGAAGAGCACGAAGTGGCTTACAGTTGGCTCCGGGCATCCAAAATGTGGCCCGGGAATGGAGTTCTGGGAAATGGAAGAACACGAATTGGCCTACAGTTGGCTCCGGGCATCCAGAATGTGGCCCGGGAATGGCGTTCTGGGATGTCGAAGAGCACGAAGTGGCCTACAGTTGCATCCGGCCCCCCAGAATGTGGCCCGGGAATGGCGTTCTGGGATGTCGAAGAGCACGAAGTGGCCTACAGTTGCATCCGGCCCCCAGAATGTGGCCTGGGAATGGAGTTCTGGGAAGGCGAAGAGCACGAAGTGTGTGACTGTTGGTGAAAAACGAGCCCGGCTCATGCCGCCCGGAAACGCCCCAACACCTGCCCGGACCCCCCTGTGGAGTGATCTGTGAGCTCTTTTTACACCACTAGAAACCTATCAGTCTTCGCTGTTAGGTAAAAAACACATGGAACCCGTACCCCCCCCAACCCGAAATTCGGGTTTTCGGGTTGGGTTGGGGTGGTCTGGTAGGTAGTCACGGACAGCGAGGAATCCAACAGCAGTTCCACAACACATTTCCTCCATCCTGTCCACTGGCGCTCTGGCTTACTACCTCGACCTGAACTCTTGCAGACCTCATGCCGATCATGAACGATGCCTGCAACGATCTCACCGAGCCAGGTTTCGGCTCTCTGTTTCTCCCCCTCCTCCACGCGCTTACCTTCCGAATGGATAGCTCCGCTTCACCCCTCCTGTTTTCACCTGTTCGGAAAGCCCCGTGAAACCGTCAAACGGACAACACGGAAACCAGCCTGATGCGTTTTGTGGTCATCAGGTTCTCGGCTTCAGCGATTTCCGATTGGCCACTAAGGCAGCGCTGGAACTTCCGCAAAGCCCCAAGAAACCCCGAACACATACACACACATACATACACACACATACAGACAGACTGACTGACTGACTGACTGACTGACTGACTGACTGACAGACAGACTGACAGACAGGCATACGTGCATGCATGCATGCATACATACATGAATCCATACATAAATACATATGTTACCTGAGAAAAAAACAATTCAGCATCTTTTTAAGGCTATGGGGCTATCAGGCTATAGGGCTAGAAGGCTATGGAGCTATAGGGCAATATGGCTATAGGGCTATAGGGCTATTGGGCCATAGGGTTATGGGGCTGTAGGGCTATAGGGCAATATGGCTATAGGGCTATATAGAGCTACCCTGCACCTGGGCAACCGGGCACCTGGGCACCCAGGCACCCGGGCACACGGGCACCCGGGCACCCCGGCACCCGGGCACCCGGGCACCCAGGCACCCGGGCACCCGGGCACCCGGGTATCCCCGGGCACCCGGGCACCTGGGCGTGCGGCGAAAATCGGCGGCAAACTCAACCTAACCATATGAATTCGCTAGGACCCCTACAGAGGCAAGCTCTGATTGGGGTACATACATACATACATACATACATACATACATGCATGCATGCATGCATGCATGCATGCATACATACATACATACATACATACATACATACATACACGAATACATACATACATACATACATACATGCATGCATGCATGCATGCATGCATGCATACATACATACATGCATGCAGGCATGCATACATACATACATACATACATCCATACATACACCACACACACACGCATGCAACACATGAAACAAACCCCCAACAGGGCCCAACCATTGCCCAAGACTGCCCCGAGGTAGCCGGAGACGCCCCCGACACACAAGCGAAACATGGACCCTTCCAAAGAGATACTTCAGTCCTTTTTTCGAAACTTCCCGCCTGCTTCCCTCCCAATTGTCCTTTGCACCCCCTGTTCGCTCTTGCTGCTCCCTTCTTCCATCCTCTCGCCTGCCAGCTCCTTCGTTCCTCATCTTCTCCACCCGGCTTCAACATCCTCGGGGAGCCCCGCCAAATCCTGAAACGGACAACCAGGGAACCAACATGGCCGCCCTGTTTTTCCCTCCTTCCTTGCTCCTGCCGATCTCACAAATCCTCCCCGCCTGCACTCCAAGGTAGGTGTTCGTGGCTCTATCAGGTTTCACACGGCCCCCCTGTAAGTCTCGACCCATTCCCCAAGACCTGTTTATCATCCCGAACCATTTTTTGGCTGTCCTGGGGCCGGCGAGGGCTTCTAGAGGCCGAAAACGGCACAACAACTCCGTCTCGATTTGTCAATACGCTGGACAACAACTCCGTTTCGATTTGTCAATACGCTGGATCTCTGGGTTTAGACAAGCTCGGGTCGGAGGGTGCCTTTTAAGGACAGAGCGGTGCTGGTGCGGCGCGGGAACTGCACCTTCCAGCAGAAAGCAGAGGCAGTGTTCGGCGCCGGGGGGAGGGCCGTGGTGGTGTACAACAACGTCGCGCAGGACGGCTTCGTCATACCCGTGGCCGCAGACGAGACACACCCGCCCCAGGCGGGGCGGCGGTCGTCGTCGTCGCCGCCGCCGTCGCCGTCGGCGTCGTCGTCGTCGTCGTCGTCGTCGTCGTCGTCGTCGCCCGTCGTCGTGGTCGGCTTCGGCGTGGGCGTCGTCATCGGCTTCGCCGTGGGCGTCGTCATCGGCGTCGGCGCGGGCGTCGGCGTCGGCGCTAGCGTCGGCGTTGGCGTCGTCGGCGTCGGCATCGGCGTCGGCGGCGTTCTCGTCGTCGTCGTCGTCGTCGTCGTCGTCGTCGTCGTCGTCGCCAGCGCACCCGCCCCAGATACCCCTCGTGTTCATCACCCTGGAGGACTCGAGGAGCAAAAAGCGGCATGACCACAGTTTTCGGAGCTCCGTGCGTAGATTTTGGATCGGCGCTGAGGCCCCCCCTGGCGGCGCCTCCGGTGCCGTTCCCTGGCGCGCTCCGCGCGCCAGGGAGGAGGAGGAGGCGCAGGAGGAGGAGGATGGGGAGCAGGAGGAGGAGGAGGAGGAGGAGGAGGAGGAGGAGGAGGAGGAGGAGGAGCACGCGGAGGAGGATGGCCCAGCGCGGGTCCCAGACGTCCGCGCGGACCGCCCAAAGTTCCTGCGAAGGACGGCCGGCGGTGGGCGGCGCGCCTGGCGGAGCTCCGCGGCGACGCCTCGGCCGCCCTGCTGCGGGTGCCGAGTCCGCGCTGCAGCGAGGCGGCCCGGGAGGTGGTGGACACGGCCGCGGGGGACGATGCGGTGGGCTCCTTCTACGACGCCGGCAGGCTGGGCTGCGACGTCTGGAGATCGGCTAACACGGAAGGGCGACCTTTCGCCGGAGTGGCCTCTGGTGCGGGCCCGATGGGTTCCCCCGGTCGCAAAAAACGCGATGCGATGGTAGCGCCCCGCGCGCTTGTGTTTGGGTCCCCCCCTCGGTCCCCAAGGAGCCGCGCACCAAAGGCCACTCCTACCCGGGGTCACTCTTGCGCGTATAGTCGAGGAGAGTCGACGGTGCGGGCCGGTTCCTGTTCTCGGGCGACAACTCGCGGTTCCATCCGTGGGGCGACCGGCGGCACGAGCCAGAACTTCCTCGGGGGTCCGCGCGGCCTTCCTGCATCGGCGCTGGAGCCCCCCGGCGGCGCCTTGCGGCGCCGCCCCGGTGGGAGCGCTCCGTGCGCCAGGGAGGGGGGTGCGGCGCGGATCCAAGACGTCAGCGCGGATCTGTTTGTGCCGTTGTTCGCTCCTCGGCCCATTGGATCTACGTCATCCTGGAGATGAGCCTGGACTTCCTGCGCGACGGTCACGTCCTCTTCCGCTACTCTGTGGACTCCGAGGATGCGCGGCGCGCCCGGGGGGAAGAGCGAGGAGGCAGCAGGCCTCGGCAGAAGGCGGCGAGGCCTCTGAGAAGCCCTCGCGCCTTCTGAGAAGTTTTCGATGTGGGGCGTTTCAGAATCAGGAGGGAACAAAACACACAGACACAATTAATCCTCGATTCCCAGGAAAATATGGGAAAATATGGGAATTGGGGGGGAAGACAAAAACCCAGAAAATATGGGAAAATATGGGGAATATTTTTATTTGTGTGTATTTTTTTGTGTGTCCTAATTTCCCTTTACAGAAAGGGGCCTTGCCTTCGAGGGATCGGGGAGTTGCCGCCTCTTCCTCGGCGGAGGGCCGGCGGAGTAATTAACGCGGGGGCGGCTCCCCGGGCGGAAGCTGGCGGCAGGCTGGGAGAGGCCGACGGAAGCAAAATGGTGCCCCCGAGAGATGGCAACCTTTTTGCGGCTCGGGGCTGCCGGAACCCGCCATCCCTGACTCCTGATCCGCCCTACTTTGGGCGATTTCGAAAGTAGGGCGGAAATTTCCGCCCTACTTTTGAGGCCCCTTTGAGCGTCGATTTCCGCCCTTGAGGCTCCTTTGGCGTCTATTTCCGACACAATTTTAGGTCGGAAAATCATCCAAAGTACGGCGGATCAGGAGCCAGGGCATGCCTTCGGCCAAGGCCCAGGAGTCATGGCGCCACTGTCGCAGAGCGGGCCTCGCTCGGAGAGCAATCGCGAAGGGGCCAGGAGTGTCCTCGAGAAGGGCGTTCTGGATTTCGGAGTAATCGAAGGGGCCAGGAGTGTCCTCGAGAAGGGCGTTCTGGATTTCGGAGTGAATCTCGTGCGGGCTTGTTTTGGCCAGGGATGGAGACGAAACGAACCCACGCGAAGTTCACTTCGTATTCTGCGCTCGCCGTGTTTCGGGGTCTCTGCGCTGACGGAGGGCCACGCCAGAAATCCGCTGCAGCGCGTCTGCAACCCAGACCTCCGCGCGTCGTGAAAAAATCACGACGGGAGGTTTTTCGCGATTTTCGGCCTCCAGGGGCCCTCCCCGGGCCTCGGGAGCGTCAAATTATCCCGGCAAAGCAACCTAACAGCGATGTGTAGGAGCATATCTGGAAGCATTCCCCTTACGATTCAGATGAGAATCCAGTTGTAGAATTCTGCTGTTCTCGCAGTCGTAGTCGCATTCGCGATGACAGTCGCAGTGGCAACGGCAGTCGCAGTCACAGCCTCAGCCTCAGCCTGCCTCAGCCTCAGCCTCAGCCTGCCTCAGCCTCAGCCTGCCTCAGCCTCAGCCTCAGCCTGCTTCAGCCTCAGCCTCAGTCTGCCTTCAGCCTCGGCGTCAGCATCAGGCTGCCTCAGCCTCAGCCTGCATCAGCCTCAGCCTCAGCCTCAGCCTGCCTCAGCATCAGCCTGCCTCAGCCTCAGCCTCAGCCTGCCTCAGCCTCAGCCTCAGCCTGCTTCAGCCTCAGCCTCAGTCTGCCTTCAGCCTCGGCCTCAGCCTCAGCCTGCCTCAGCCTCAGCCTGCCTCGGCCGCAGCATCAGCCTGCCTCAGCATTCAAAATGTGGCCCAGGAATGGAGTTCTGGGAACTAGAAGAACACGAAGTGGCCTACAGTTGGCTCCGGGCATTCAAAATCATGCCCAGGAATGGAGTTCTGGGAACTTGAAGAGCACGAAGTGGCCTACAGTTGGCTCCGGGCATCCAAAATGTGGCCCGGGAATGGAGTTCTGGGAAATCGAAGAGCACGAAGTGGCCTACAGTTGGCTCCGGGCATCCAAAATGTGGCCCGGGAATGGAGGTCTGGGAAGTCGAAGAGCACGAAGTGGCCTACAGTTGGCTCCGGGCATCCAAAATGTGGCCCGGGAATGGAGTTCTGGGAGCACCAAGAGCGATTTCGCGAGGATGTCCAAAGCGATTTCGGCTTCGGCGGCAGCCTCGGCGGCAGCCTGTCCGGGTCCCGCCCAGACCCCCCTGAGGAGTCATGATGCTCTCTTTTGAGACCACTAGAAACCTATCAGCAAAAGCTGTTGGGTAATAAATACATATATATACACACACAAACACACACACACACACACACAAACACACACACATATATATATATATATATATCAGCCTTTCCGCATCCGTTGCCTCCTCCGCGCCGGGAAGACTCGGACACGGAGGTGGACTCGCCGAACGAGTCGCTGGCGACGGACAGGACACGCCGCCCGCCCCGTCGAGGGAAGCGGCGAGGACAACGTCGAAACAACAACGACGACGACGACGACGGCGGCGAAGGCGGCGACGACGATTACAGAATCTGCGACGACAATAACGACGACGACGACGACAATGACGATGACGACGACGGTGGCGGCGACGAGCACGACAGCGACGATGACGGCGATGAGTTTCCTACTATCTCACAGGAAGCCCTACCCCCGACGGCGACCACGAAAATGAGGACGGCACGACGAGAGTGACGACGACGGCAACATCGTCGACGGTGTTCGCCAGCGTCCCCTCCTCCGCTTCCACCTCCTCCACATCCACCTCCCCCCCCCCCTTCATTTCCACCCATTCCTCCGCCATTGTTTCTCGAGCCCCCATCTCAGTCTCAAAAGACTGCCACGGAGGCGCTGCCCCGCGAAGCTACCGCACGCGCGCGCGAGCCCTTGCAAGCAAGCTATGTCCGAGGCGGCAGAGACGGCAGGACAGACGGCAGCTGTCCTGTCCGAGGCGGCAGAGACCCCCGACGACTTGCGACAAGTGTTTGAAGACCGATTGCGGGAAGTACATATTGGTGAACAAGGCCCTCGTCGAGACGCGCAATCGGAAGCCCATCTGGCGCTGCTCGCATTGCAACAACGCGGGCAACCACCTCGCGAGCCCCAAGCAGAGCAACCCAGAGCAACCCAGAGTTGCTCGAAGGGTTCGCGGTCATGATGCGCGAGGCGAAGCAGGAGTTCATGGCGACGTGCAAGGGGATGGCGTTGGCTGACGTGAGGAAGGAGCTCAGCGAGAGGATGTCTTCGACGTCCCACGCCGAGGTGGGCCACGGGTTCCCGGGGAAGCCAGAGGCGATGTCTGTCAAGGAAGATGCAGAGCTGCCACTGTTCAAGCACCATCCAGAGGGTCTGCAGAAGCTTCTGGACAGCCCAGGGATGGCGTTCACCTGCCGCCACACGGGCATCGAGATGGCGCACGCGCCGAAGTTCAAGAAGAAATACAAGGAGGATGTAACCCGCCAGACTACCCACGCCCAGAGCGCGCGGGCGGAGGTCAGCATCCCGAAGGCCAAGACGAAACCGAGAGCGATCGCAACGCACCCCAAGGTGGAGCCCAAGGTCAAGGCGCTTCCTGTGCGCCTCAAGAACACAGCGGATGGGTTCATCGGCGAGGCGAGGCAGAATGCCGATTTGCTCATGAGGTGGGTCGTGCAGGCCCGCACCAACGAAGGCAAGGAGCACGTCGCGCCGGCGGTCGCTACCAGGGCCGAAGGCGCGGCAGCCGCTGTCGTGACCTTGCGCGACGCGCTGGAACCCGCGGCGCACGAGAACGCCAACGACAAGAAGGAGCACGTCGAAAACTCGCTGCAGAAGTTGAGCGACTCCATGAAAGTGGTGACGGACCACGCGACTAAGCTTGCGGGTTCAGACACTTCCAATTCCATCTCGCCCCCGCTGCCCCCCCCCCCCGTCGGCGGGAGGAGCGGGAGATCGCACGGAGGGGGGGAGAGGGGCGGGAGGGGGGAGGGGGGGGGAGGGAGGAGCTGAGGAAGGGCATCGAGGACGGAGTTCACGCAGGGAGGATGAAGGGAGGGAGGATGGATGATAGCAGTTCTGCCGCCAGGTTTGCTCGAGGACATCATTCCGCTCGCGCAGGGAAGCAGGCCGCGCCAGAGGAGTCGGGCGCAGACGGCGACATTGATAAATTGATCGAGAATGCTTCGCAGAGGGTGAGGCAGCAGCTTCAGAGAAGGAGGCTGGCTCGGATGTTGCTTCGGGAGGCGCGTCGGCGGCTGGCGGCAGCGACAAGAAGCGCAGGCTCTCTGGCAAGGCGGTTTCGGAGCCCACAGCAAACGAGGAGACGGACACGGCCGCGCATAGCGGCAAAGGCAAGGGCAAGGGCAAGAACAAGAAGCGCAAGTCGAAGTGAGCTCGGCAACGGAAGTGAGGGCGCCAATGCGTGTGCAGGTGCCACGTACACAGGGAGTGCATCGACGCTACGCGTGCCTGCGCAATGCAGCAACAGCACTCATCTTCCCAACCCTGCTCCCAACCGTCCATAACCATCCGTACTCTCATCCGAACCACTCTCACCCCCCCCCCCCCCCCCAACAAAAAAAAAAAAAAAAAAAAAAACACATCCGAACAACCATCCATCCAATCATCCATAACCATCCAGAAACCATCCGCCAACCATCCACCAACCACCCACCAACCATCCAACAAAAAAACAGAGACCCAAGAACCATCCCCCAACCATCCACCAACCATC